TGGCCTTACTTTTAACGTCATATGACGTCTCTAGATTACATTAGATCATGCAGGAAGGAAGGCTGTCTCCTTATAAAGGTGGTGACCAAAAATCATGTAAATAGAACAACAATTTATATTTTTAATTTAATTTAAAAGAAACCTTACACGCGTGGAATCCGCGACATCATATGATGACGTTCGGCCAGCTGCCCTAACTTTTAACGACATCATATGATGACGTTCGTCCAATAAAGGTTAATTCAGCTAAAATGTTATGAGTTAAAATGTTAATAAAGTTCTTAATATTTAAAATCAAACCACTAAGGTTTGTGTCTACATGCCCCCTCTATCAACAGGAGATTTGGTAGCTTGCCACCCTTTGCTGTTCGAGCAGTGTTTTCTTTTCTTCTTTATGATGTTGGTTAAGAGTCTGTTTTTGTTGTTGAGCTGCTTCTCCTTTCGTTGTTTGTTGAGGTACTGTGTGTTGTTTACCTTCTGAAGATGGTCATTAATTGACTGAAACATGTAAAGGCATTATATATATATGTGTGTGTGTGTGTGTAACGCAGTAGTATAGTTGGTTGAGGCACTATGCTACAAGCTGGAAGGTTGCGGGTTTGAGTCCCAATGAGGTGGATTTTTTCAATTTACCTAAACCTTCCAACTGCATTATGACCCTGGGGTCAACTCAGCCTCTAATATAAATGAGTACCAGGAATCTTTCTGGGGGATAAAGGGTGGCCTGTGTGAAGGCTGACAACCTTACCTTCCTGACAAGGAAAGCAACCATACCCTGGGCAGAAAACTGGGTTCTTCTGCTTGTGTATTCTAGAATAACTTCCGTCTTTATCAGTTACTTTCTTTTTTTCAGGCTTATGGCTGAGAAGATCAATAAGAATGAACGCAAGAATAAAGCAGAGATAATTACAGAAATGCCGGGTGATGAAAGTTCAGACTTTTGGAAGGTTCTGGGTGATGAAGATGGAATGCCACCTGATGACCCTATTGTGGTATTGATACCTCACACTTGATCCTTTCATATTATTTCAAATCTTGAACAGTTTACATGCAGTGAAATTTCTCCCTACTATACGTAAAATCTCTGCCATGGAAAAGAACGGTACAGTTCATAGCAGTAGACCTGCAACCCTGAATTAAACTGCACATGCACATTATTTTTTTCTGTGTGGTCCATTCTGAAAGGAAAGACCGTCTTCTGGAATGTGATGCCACGTAGTCAGGTAACTGGGTACTTATCTACCAGACTACACGGTGTCAAATATTATTTCCAGTGACAGGGACTAGCTGTATCGTTTGGGCCCAACTGAGTAGGTTTTGCTTGAAGACGGACACAGAATCCGGGCTCCAAAACGTTGTGTTTTAAATAAAGACAGGGTGATAGATAATGTCCACAAACATAATGTTTGTATTAATGTACCATTGTCACAGACTTTTAGATCTTATTTACACAGTGACACATTTCAAGTTGGCTCAAGTGATAGTGCTTCTGACTTGTGTAGGGAGGTGTCTGGTTTGAATCACGGCCAGGCCATTAACTGTGCTGATAGATTTGTATGGTTTTCTTCAATCTTTCCAGGCAGATGCCAGAATAGTACCTCAGTTAGGCCATAACCACTTCTTCCATATCTGTTCCAATTGATTATTCTCCCTCCAGTCCTACCATCTGACACTATATTTGAGCTGCTACCAAATTTGTTAAATAAACCATAAGTAAATGCATGATGTCACATCTCAGAAAAATCAGTCATAATAAAATGTTTGTTTGTTGGAGTTTGTAGAAATATGATTTATATATCTTGTTAAAACAGGAACATGTTGATGCAGACTTCATGCCAGCCATGCCAAGATTATACCAAGTGAGACTGGGCATGGGGTATTTGGAGTTGCCGCAAGTGGAGGTCCCCCACAGCAAAATGGTTAACACTGTTCTCAATAATCGCAACGTTTATATCCTTGACTGTTATCTTGATGTGTTTGTATGGTAAGTAGTATTCTGTGCATGTGGATTCATTAACCTTTTAAAACCTGAAATTCATCTAAAGATTTAGAAATCAGTTTCTAACCAATAGGGAACACTGTGTCTCCATTATAAAGCTCAACCGGTTAATGTTGTTTAGGGAAATAATTGCTATTTATTGTGAGAACCGTACGGAACACATAAATACACTGTGGGCAGAATGCAGAGTTCAGTCTGTACCTCACAGGAAACACATTACATCTCCGTGACAGAGCCCAACCAGTTAATGTTGTTTAGGGAAACAGTCGCTGTTTATTATGATACTATTATGAAACAGAAATACACTGTGTGGGCAGAATGCAGAGCTGTTGAATGTAAAAGTACAGTGTAACTCCCATCTAGGGTTTTTATGGGAACCAGTGAATTTGAATACTGAGTTGAAAATCCTAGATATGGGAAATTTAGCACTGAGAATATTGACTTGGAATAATTGCAATTGAATGTTAAATGAGTGAAAACCGTAGATTGAGTTATGTGACATTGGGATTCCACTGTATGTAGTGACCCGTATGCTTTAAAAATCAGAGTGGTGTTGTGAAATGGGTATTGATTTGTATGTGAATTACATTAATGAGGAAATGAACCACAGATCAAATTAAGGTAATGCTTGTTGCCATGCAGTTCAGTGTCTTGCTTCTTAAAGTATACAAAACTATATTTTCCCTGTTATTTTTGTGGATATGAAACTTGCTTCCCACACAAGGGGAAGGACAGAGACTGAGGGTACTGAAGGAAGTAGTTCAGTATAAGAAGAGTAAGTGACAGGAGGATAGAGAAAAATGCATAGTGAGGAGCTCCATAATTTGTTCATCATATATTAGGGTGATGAAGTGAAGGCATTTGAAATGGGCGAGACATTTAACACACATGTGGAAAATCAGAAATGGATATGAAATTCTGGTCAGAAAACTTAGAGGANTAAAATTGCGGGTATTTAAATCAAATCTGTCCCGCTGCCATTACCGCAATTTAAAGGGTCGTCACTTAAATGTTAAAATGCATCTGAAAACATTGTCATGAAAGTGATCAAGGTCCATTTTGATAAACTGATGCTTGCTCATCTAGTCAATAAATTCTTCACCTTTTATGGAAACTGAGGGCTTCCTGCTGTGTTCACAAGAACTTGTCATTGGTCACTTACTAAGTCAGATGAATCCAGTCCACAGCCTTGCACCCCATAGTTCTGTTACATAATGCTCAGCCCATCTTATTCACCTTCATTCTTATGGTATCTGGTTAACCCATAATGTAGGAGAGAAGTGGAAAGGCCAAAGCTGGGATTTCTGGAAGATGTAGAGAATGATTTACCAGAGCTGGAAATAAAGAGATGGAGGCAAAGTACAAATAATTGAAAAGAATGGTATCTGTCATGAAGGAAGCCAAGGAGTAAGCAAGTAATATTTGGTGCAGAGTACAAATTATGAAGTTCCTCATTATGCAGCTTTCTCCATCTCCTGTTCTTTTGTCTATTTTGTCTCTCAAAGATGTGCTCGTTCCTTAAACTCAAAATTTTGATAATTTCTTTGTTCCTCTTCATTCATAAAAGTTTTACGCTTACCATGTTGTCCTGTGGACTCCTCTTTTGGTATATAATGCTGCATGTCATTATTTCCAATCACAGGTTTGGTAAAAAGTCGACACGTCTGGTAAGAGCTGCAGCAGTAAAATTGTCACAAGAACTGTTCACTATGATAGACCGGCCCGAGTATGCCCTAGTCACAAGAGTGCAGGAAGGTACAGAAACACAGGTAATGTTCTGAAAATTGAAGTTCTCCAAAATTTTGGTACTCAACTAGCAGACTGCATGGTATCACATCTAACTTAGACAAGTTTCTATGAGTATTAAAGTTAGTATAAAGATGAAAGAACAGATCAAGACATAAACCAAAGAATAAAAAAATCAAATATAGCTTTTATACAATTATATCAGGCATGGAAGAACAAAAATCTTTCAGCGAAAACTAAATTATGGATTTTTAATACTAACGTAAAAGCCGTTCTCCTTTATGCCTGTGAAACATGGAAAATATTAAGAACAAGCTTGAACAAATTACAAAGCTTTGTAAATAGACATTTAAGACACATTTTGAACATAAGATGGCCAGACACAGTATCAAGTAACCATCTGTGGGAATTCACAAAACAAGAACCAGTTGACATCCAAATTAAAAAGAGAAAATGGAGATGGATTGGGCACACTTTAAGGAAACCAGCTGGCACCAGAAAAAATGACGTGTTAGACTGGAACCCTGGAGAAGGAAAATAGAAGAGGAAATGACAGAGATGGGAGAGACCTGGAGTGAGGTGAAGGCATTGGTAAACCAGAGGAGAGGATGGAGAAGCTTCACAGGAGCCCTGTGTTCCACTCGGAACTAAAGGAATTAAGTCAAGTAAGTGATAAAGATGTGATGAACTGAACATGGCACCATGAAGACAGATGGGACTTAGCATAGCTCCTTAGCACTCATAGAGGTGAATGGTGAGCTTCAGGCCCCTGCCAGGGAAATAGCCCTGGTATCCACTGGATAGGAATTTGGGCGGGCTGTGGAGGAGGCAGAAATACTTCCTTGGTCCTCCAGTCCACAGTCTAATTGCTGTAGTAAGAGAGGGGGAAAACACTGAGGAGAATGTGTGAACCTAAGAGGGATGAAGCAGCATGAGGCTGGAGAAAATTGCATAATGAGGAGCTTCACAATTTGTAGTCTCCATTGTATGTTATTGTGGTGAAGAAATTGTGAATGGTGAGATGGGTAAGACATATAGAATGTGGGAGGGATGAGAAATGGATGGATACAATAATTTAGTTGGATGATCAGGTAATCAGAAGGAAATAAACTGCTTGGGAGGCGTGGGCAAAGGTGTAGGGGTGTTGAAGCCATCTTCCTGGATTCCTTTCTATGACCTTTGCTCTCGTTTATCTGTGTAATATGAAACAATATCGATGTGGCATGCAAATAAAGATTCTTTTTCTGTACTGTCAAGGTTAGGCCTCTCAACATTTCTCCTTCCCTGAGTTGTGTATTGTATTACAGTCTTAGTGAGCATGTTATCCTTTATCCTATCCACTTGGGCTGTTCATTGCCTTCTGAATTTCTCAGTACCCTCCGCTGTAATAGATATACAGGGAGAACGGGAAGTCATATACATCACACAAAGCAATTATATTTTGCTGGTTTAATGCACAAAGTACAAGACATACAGCACTTACTATTAATGTTTATAACTTTACATCTTAGAAATGCAAAATCAAATTATGTCTTTACAACATATGTTCAAAATGGCTTCCCTGTTCATCAATGCATGTGTGAGCTCTTTTTACCATGTTTGAGGCCACTTTCTGGAGCACCTGTAAACTGATGCTGTTAATCGTCATCGTAATGTTCCTCTTGAGGTCATCTAGTGTATGCAGATTGTTTTTATAGACAATTCCTTTGAGGTACCCACAAAGGAAAGAATCTGCTGGTGACAGATTGGGCTAACGCTGGCGCCACAATCCTTTCAAAATTAGATGGTCACCGAAAAACTCACGCAAGAACTGCATGGTTTCATTACATGTGTGACATGTCTTGCTGCAACCAGCACTCATGTTCATCAACTTCAAGAAGTGCAATAAACTGTGTAATGATGTCTTGGTACACTGGACTGTTCACTGTTGTTTCAAAGAAAATTGGGCCCACTATTCGACAGCGTGATACAGCACACCACACTCCAATTTTCTGACAGTGCAAGGGCTTTTCATGTAACACATGATTTTCAGATGACCAAAGCCTATTGTTTTGACTGTTCATATAGCCACTAAGGTGTAACCACACTTCGTCAGTGAAGAAAACCTGATAAAACTCTTCAATTCCATGAAAACTCGTTCTTGGGAAAACGACATGTCTGTCACGCAGTAAACAAAGCTACACTACAGACGGCGTATGACCANCTATTCAATGACATGATACAGCACACCACACTCCAATTTTCTGACCGTGCAAGGGCTTTTCATGTAACCCATNCTACAGTACCATCTAGCGGTAGGAGATATAATTATGTTAACTGCAATACAATTTATAACAACTTTTAGTTTGATGTGCACTACTTTTCGATCTCCCTGTACCAAGGTACTGAACGTGTTGGTCTGGAAATAATGCTCCAAATCAGTAANTACACTACAGACGTCGTATGACCAATACACGACAGATAGCATTTCTACTCGTTGTTAGTACTCCTACAGTACCATCTAGCGGTAGGAGATATAATTATATTAACTGCAACACAATTTATAACAACTTTTAGTTTGATGTGCACTACTTTTCGAACTCCCTGTACCAAGGTACTGAATGTGTTGGTCTGGCAATAATGCTCCAGATCAGTATGTAAGCAGTGCTTGGTTTGAATCTTGGCTGGCACACTGGCTATCATGACAGAAGTTTTTCGTGGTAGTCCTCAGCCCCTCCAGGCATATTTCATGATAGTACCATAGTTAGGCCATGACTGCTTCTTTCAAAATACTTTCTACTTCATTTGTCATCTCCTTACTTTGCATTTCTAAAGCACAATAAAATAACCCCAAAAAAGAATACACCTATTTACTCTCTGTTGCCAAGAAAAGTTAAATATTGTGACATGTTGACCCATACCTCCCTAGCGGCACGTAGCGGTAACGTAGGGCTCGTGTAATAGGCAAGTTATCACCCCGCCACTCTCCCCGTGGTGATGTCACGAGCGGAGCCGAAGTTAGCCGAGTCCCCGCATTCTGGTAGCTATGCAACGTGCAGCGCACAGTGACGCGGAACCGCTTCCTACTGTGACGTGGCACTCATTACGCAACAGGCAAGCACTGCGGCTATATAAGTGAGCCGCACAGCGGCTGCAAGTGAGTTGGAACGTAACCGTCGCCGAGTCGAGTTGTAATGCGACAGTCGCTGAGTGTGTTATCAACAGTTCTCCAGTCAGCCGACTACAAGTTGGAGTATAGCAGCCGTCGCGGAAAGAAGAACCGGACGTGTGTGTGATTGTGTAATAGGGAGTGTGTGATACAGTGATACATAGCTCCCCTACTGTAAATGTGTAGACTACTGAAGACAGAGTGAGCTGATTTGCGCATAGGGTTATAAAGTGTGAAACCCCGCAACAGTGGTAACAGATTATTGCGCATAGGGTTATAAAGTGTGAAACCCCGCAACTGTGTTATAATTAATTGTAGCCGTTATTTGTAGATTGTTAAATAAACCAATTAACGATCTCTACGGCGTATTCAGTAACGAAACACGTTACAATATAATAATACTGGAAGATAAGGGAATACTTGAAATGTAATATTATACTAGTGTGAAGCTGTATGCCAGAGTACAGTGTAATGGCTGTTTCTCAAACCTTTATTTTGCATTACAGATGTTCAAGTCAAAATTTAGTGGATGGGATGAAGTAATTGCTGTAGATTTCACACGCACTGCTGAATCTGTCCAGAAGACTGGCGCAGATCTCACAAAATGGGCCCGTCAACAGGAAACAAAGGTATGTTGAAATTATGCATGATTTTAAGCTTTTGTGGCAAGAATTTTCTTAGTGGGGGTGGAGTCAAACTGGATCCACTCGGCACGGCGGCCACTCAGTGGCCTATTGTACCTGCCCCGGGTGATTATGATGGAGAATTTGGTGGAATGAAGATTGGCAGGGGGAACCGAAGGTTCGGAGAAAACCCGCCCAGTGCCACTTTGTCCACTACAAATCCCACTTGACCAGACCTGGGATCGAACCCAGGCCACCGTGGTGAGAAGCCAGCGACTAACCGCTTGAGCTATGGCACAGCCCTTCCAAATCAAGATGGAATGTAGTGCCGTTCTGGAGACTGTCACTGTCTCTTTATCAGGGATTGACGTTCTGAGCAATGCCACTGTGGATTCTGTATATGTGTACAGGTGTCCTAAAGAAACCTCTACTGAATGCATTGTTACTTGCTCGGTCTTGGTCCTCCCTCTCCCTGTATTTGTAAAATTTGTTTTCTGCTCTTGTCTTTTTCTTCTGTGGTGAAGATGGAGGTAACAGGTTCCTCTGAAACATTTGTCCCTATCTACCGAAGTGTACAGTGTCACGTTCCAGGAGACAGTAGTCTTCATAGTCACCAGCTGGGAAGCCTCAAACCTCATACCATATGAGTTTGTTCTGGTTTTTACTTTTTAAAATCCTAATTTCTGCTGCCGATAGTAAAGTAAGGATGGAAGAATGTTGCAGTGGAAAGGTTCTTGTTATTTTATCATCCAGACTATAAGAAGAAAATATATCATGGGAATACAGTNAATTAATTGTCTCATTCAAGACTGAACTGACATTACTTTTAAATTCCTCAGGATTCCACCATGGCAGCCCGGGTTCAATCNCTCAAGCAGTTAGTCGCTGGCTTCCCACCACGGCAGCCTGGGTTCGATCCCAGGTCTGGTCAAGGGGGATTTTTGGTGGTCAAGTGGCGCTGGTACAGGTTTTCTCAGAGTACTTCGGTTTCCCCTGCCAATCTTCATTCCACCAATTATAATTATTCCACAATTACCCTCACCTATCATCTGGGGCTGGTACAATAGGCCAGAAGTGGCCACAGTACAAGGGACTTAGTCCCACCCCACAAGCAATAAAGAAAAAGCTGAGATACACTCTCTGATGTGTGGTGTTTTGGTTTCCACATGCAGGCAGATCTGGCAGCTCTCTTCACTCCACGACAACCACCGATGTCAGCATCTGAGGCCCAGCAGCTAAGCGAAGAGTGGAATGAAGATCTGGAGGCCATGGAATCTTTCGTGCTTGAAGGCAAGAAGTTTGTGAGACTGCCGGAAGAGGAATTAGGTGAGCTTGTGACATTTGGTTAGAATGGAAGGAAAACATTTAAACACATGTGTCAGCCCTTCAGAGCACAGTGCTAACTAGACATGACTTCTTTAACATTAAGAAGCCTTGCATTTTGCCAACACAGTGTGTTTATGTATACACTTTCTTTATTAAAACTAACACAACTA